CTTACGGAGTACGTTTGAAAATGTAAATATGTAACTAAGTGTTTTATCATCATTTTAGATCGATATTGCTGATCAAATTAAAGACACTCGAATATTTTTTTTTTGTTTATTGTTGACCAAAAATAGTATTATACGACCCCCCATAAAATGTGTAAATAACATGTATGTTTGTATACGCACATGCACACGCACACACACGCACACTCGTCCTCTTCTTCCTGTCAATCTTCCTTCTATAACGACTCTCAGCAATCCTTGATGCCGCATTATATGTCCAAGCCACTTTTTCTGCCTATGATAGATGGTATCAATTAACGATCTTTCTTCTCCTACCCCTTTAAGCACTTCATTGCTGACATGCTCCGTCCAGCTAATCTTTAGAATTCTTCGCCATATCCACATTTTCATACTTTCTAGTCTTTTGATGTCACTCTTCTTCAATGTCAAAATCTCTGCGCCAAACAATAAAACACTCCACACTAAGGTCTTAACTAGTCGTTTCTTAGTTGTTGTCTTCAACTTCGATGTCATCAGTTCTTTCCTATTATTAAACGCAGTTTTTGCCATCCCAATTCTTGTTCTAATCTCTTTATCACAGTAGCCATCCTCTGTCAGCCAGCCCCCAAGGTATTTGAAGCTGTTGACCTGTTCAAGTTCCTCCCCACTCAACATGATCTTGACAGTATCATCATTTCTTTTACTAATTTTCATTACCTTTGTTTTCTTTATATTTATTTTCATTCTGAACTCCTCTACTACGTTGTTTAACCGGTCCATGATTTTTTGCAAGCCATTTTCGGAATCTGCTATCATTGCATGGTCGTCAGCAAACCTTACGGCCTTCACTAGGTGTCCACCAACTTTTACCCCTTCTTCACATTCTTGCAGCGATCTTGTAATCATAATCTCTGCAAAGATGTTAAATAATGACGGAGACATGAGACATCCTTGCCGTACCCCTCTCCCAAACTCTGCTGGTTCAGACTCTCCATTACTAGTTCGTACTGTCGCCGTTTGTCCCATATATAATTCGCATATCAACTTCCGATCTCTCCAGTCTACTCCCACGTTATTCAAAATTTCCATCAGTTTTATCCAGTTTACTCGGTCAAAAGCCTTCTCGAAGTCAACGAATGCCACATACAATTCTTGATTGTGTCCAATACTTCTTTCTCCTATTATTCTCCATACTAATATACTCAATACCGCAATCGCTTCTCTCGTGCCTCTTCCCATTACAAAACCAAACTGGTCTTGCCCAATCACGCTTCTGATCTTTCCCTCAAGTCTTCTAGTTAGAATCTTTAGTAATATCTTTGACGCGTGTGGTATCAAACTAATTGTTCGATGTTCCTCGCATTTTTTTGCTCCCGGCTCTTTCTCGAGTGGTACCATCACACTCCTTAGAAAGTCTACCGGCCATTTCCCTACACAATACATTTGTTGACATAATAATACAACTTCATCCAATGCTTTTCCTTCCAATGCTTTTATCATTTCTGCCGGTATGTTACCCGTACCTTCTGCTTTTCCTGACTTTAGTCCCTTAATTGCTGTTAGCACTTCGTCTCTTAATATATCAGGCCCAATGTCATTTGCATTTACGTCTTCCTGACTCTCTACCAAAGCAACATCCGGCTTGCCGTTCTTATCATACGATGTCTCTATGTATTCGGTCCACCGCTTCTTGATTTTATCCGGGTCTGTTAGTTCTCCTTCTTTACTCTCTATACCTCCCTGTATCTTGCCACTTTTCCCGGCAGATGTCAATTCTTTGACTCTTCGATATACCTGATCTGACTTTCCCATTTTTGCCAATCTTTCAATTTCCTTGCATTCCTCTTCTAACCAGTCTTCTCTCGCCTTAACAGTTTCCCTTCTCAGTTCGTTATTCAGTCTTCTGTAATTACTTTTCCCTTCATCTGTGTTAACGTTTTTCCATTTCCTCCTCTCATCCATCTTCTCTAGCATTCCGTCAGTCACCCATGGTTTCTTGGCTCTCTTCCGTTTCACTTTACCTACGGTAGATTCTGCTCCTTTTGTCATTGCGCTTTTCAATCTGTTCCATCTGCTCTCAACGCCGAAATTTGTTTGGATGTTATCTGTTAGCTCAGTGTTTGTCGCTAATGCATACTACATATATTTATATATTTATATATTTATATATTTATATATTTATATATTTATATATTTATATACATATATTGACATATATCTACGTATATATCTATACATACATATATATATATATATATATATATATATATATATATATATATATATACATATATATATATATATATATATATATATATATATATATATATATATACATATATATATATATATATATATATATATATATATATATATATATATATATATATATAGCGACAGAGAGAGAGAGAGAGAGAGAGAGAGAGAGAGAGAGAGAGAGAGAGAGAGAGAGAGAGAGAGAGAGAGAGAGAGAGAGAGAGAGAGAGAGAGAGAGAGACAGAGACAGACAGAGAGGAGAAAACTGGCACTAGGCTGCATTCCTATTATGAAGGTGGTTGTTTACAGAACACCAATGTACTCTCAATCAAAACTTGAGAGAAAATATGTCGACAGAGATCAGGAGAGACTGAGCCTTAAGATGTTATGGACAGAATATTGGATGAAATACATGATGAGAAACAAGATGCTATGAGGAAAAGTATGAAGAATATATATCAGTCAACTGAGTATATTTTCTATGTCTCTATGTGTATTTATTATGTGTACATTAACAGATATATACATATATTTTTTTTTCTTTTTTTCAGGTCAAAGCCTGTTGGGCATTTACCTTAGTAGTGTTGCTTTGTTGATAATGTGTTTGAATTTCAAATTGTACTTATATTATATTAGTATAATTTGAACATTATTATATTAGATGAAAATGATCAATTACAAGTCTTATAAATCTAAAAATAAACCCTCTAGATATACTGTGGGAATTACCACATTTAGCAAGAATATCTTAGTAAAATAATCACACATTCTTGCATTATTTGTGGATCACATTTTTGGGTCTATCAAACATCAGCTTCAAGTGAAATCATTCTGCATTTCTTACCTTTAAATGGGCATTTTTACCCACAAACTACATTTCACCTTCCTCAAAATATATTTCTGTAGAGGCAACACTAATACTAAGTTGCTTTATTCCTCGTTCAAAAGACAAACCAATAGATCTACAACTTATATTCTGAGATTAAAACCAGTCTTAGCCTTTCCTATTATCTGACTGTGAACAGATGAGGGATAAACACTATTTGCAACATTATTAAACAGTTTAAACCAGAATTATATAAATGATGTCGATACAGTATGATATTTTTCAAGATGAGACATTTTCAGCCATTTATTTTATATCAATATGTCTTAAGCTAAGGTTGTAAAACTATTTTACAGTTAAAAGTTTATTTAATTCATAAGAGTAATACATGAATACAATAACATAAGCAACTAAATTTAATACCTTGTACAATATTTATGACTGTCTGGTACATGAAAGACTGCAAATTACTTCCAGGTAAAGAATAATTTTACTACTTTCAATAGACTGCTGCTTAGGACAAGTGTTGACAGCAGATAATTTATACATTATATTTAGAATACAAAACCTGTAGTATACTGACTTAAGCAGACAAATCATAAACATTCTGTAAAAGAAATATTCTTAAAAGTATAAAAGCCATCAAACCAAAATAATGATAAAGTATTGTCCATCTACTCATATCTCAGGTTTTTCTTAAGTGTATGGAGATAAGCTGGTTCACGGAGACATGTCAGGCCACAAATGAGAAGGGTGACAAAGCATTATGCTAGCAACTCTTCCTGTATAGTGACTAAGACTTCAACCTGACCTAACCTACTCTCCTTCCATGTACCAGGTCAACAAAGGCAGAGACAGATTAGGTCAGGTAGAGGTCTCATGTTATACAGAATAACAAAGCACCATGCTTAGCCACTCTTTTCACAGATCACCTAACAGCTCGACATAACCCCAACCAACCTCAACTACTTTTGTTTTTCTGTAGATATTAGTTCATATACAGGTTTGATGTATAGCCAGTTATTCATGATTCCACTAAATCATGAAACAGATCTGAGTCACGAAGTATGAAGAAAATTTTCAATGCAGGTTTTAACAATAAAAAAGTTAATCTACAAGAGACACAAGTTACAAGAAGAAAGATACACAAAAGCACAGCAAACTATTAGTTAGCAAGGTTTACTAGTGTGATCTACATACACTTGTGTCTATAAACTTTGTTTGAAAAAATAAAATAATAGAATAATAATGACAAAATACTTGTACAGTCAATTGCTGGGGTTAATCTTTGGACTAATCTTTGGACTAAACAGAGATCTAATTACTTCATCCCACATGTGTGAAAATGAACACCATGAATGGCATGTTAATCTATCTGGCATGTTGATACATCTTGGAGGTGATATAGTTTGTGAGACTCAACATCTGGACCTGACCTCCCTCCAGCTGGCCTGACTTGACCTCCCGAGAAGGACTACCCCCCGGGGCGAGGCAAAAAGGGAAAGAGTGACCATTCCCAGGCCCATGGGCGCCCGCTGCAGGGAGCCACGCCCTGGGCAGGAAATAGGGCGTGGCTCCCTGCAGCGGGCGCCCATGGGCCTGGGAATGGTCACTTTTTCCCTTTTTGCCTCGCCCCGGGGGGTAGCCCTTCTCGGGAGGTCAAGTCAGGCCAGCTGGAGGGAGGTCAGGTCCAGATGTTGAATCTCACATAGTTTGTCTCACAGACTCCAGGATGGTAGTCGGGTAATGTCAACAAGCCAGTCATGGGTGATAATCTACTCTATATATCTGTGAGGCAAGGTGTACAGAAGCCTGGATTGACTCCCAACTATAATTATACATACATTTCAAATACATTTGTTCTCTTTAGACGGTAAAAATTGAGATTGACAAAACAATTTTTTTAACCCTTCAATCACAGATTTACAGTGACCCTTAACTTTGTGGCCATTTTACTTTTACTGATATTGACTTCAAGTGATTCAGTTTAAAAGACTACTGTTCTACAATATACCTGCATTCTTACCAACATGCTCCATTTAGATCTCTGGTTGAGTGAAATTACAACACTACTACAATGTACCAATAAATCAAAATAACTTGTTGCAAAAACATTTACTGGGAATGGTCACTCATGATCAGAGGCCTGACAGGCAACAAGCTCAGCCCACTGCTACCATGTAATGGGGATGGCCAGGGTTGACGGCTAGCTGTTTTTATAAAAGTACCTGAGGCAAGAGGAATACATCTGGCAATTCAATGTTTACCACCTATTCAATTCCAGTCAGGTGAGAAGTGTTGCTTAAGCCATAACTGTCAAAAAAGACAGTTACATTGTAGCTATATTCCATTCCAAAGATCTGAGCAGAGTTACAATATACTGTTGCTTGTACAATGTTAAAGCAGGGTAACCAAAGTGCAGGAAGTGTAAATAACCCTGTGTACTAGTAACCAAATCAACAAAGGCTAAAAATATTTGAATATTGAATTTCTGCCTTAATACACATACACTATTCGCAAATCTTTGGTTTATAAAATATTACCTTTATTACCATTTGTATAAAAAGAGTCAGGAATCTTTTTCGAAACACTTGATTATTTTCCGCACCTTAATATGAAAATAAAGAACACTTGACATAAGTCTTTTAATCCATCAGAATTAAAAATCTGTAGCATTCCATCATATCTTAGCAGCAAAATTTTGTTTTGAATATAGAGAATACAAGTTAAGCCTACAATAAAAAATTGAGAAATAATTTTGAAATGTAAATAAATTATATAACAATATGACAAAATTACTCTGGAAAATTAATCTCAATAACAAAATATATTTTAAGGTATAAAATAATGTCATAAATTAATTAAACATTTTTTTTCTAAAATTATATAATGTCAATGTACTTCATCTACATAATCCAATTACAAAACATATAATGAAAATATACACAGATTAGGGCAAATGTATTATCATTTTCAGAATATATTCATCAGAGTAACACAACCTTTTTCTTAATAGAAAAAAATAAAAATAAAATAAAATGAAGTAAAACTTGTCAAAGCAGTTTAGAACAGTGTTCATGAAACTGGTTCCTTGCCATCTGGAATTTGTTTGACTTTTTAACCTGTGTATATACTATTTTGCCCTTGCTGCAACTATTTAAAACATTAGGCCAATTCACCAGCTCTTTATCATCAGAAGTAGAACAAGCATTTTTGCTGTTCAGGTAAAGTCAACTCCTGTCACAATGGTTTTAAACAACAACAAAGTGATATAAACAGATAAATGAGCTCCTTAACAAGGGAGAGATGAATAAAAGACATTGTCACCTGATATTAGACAATCCCTGTAAATGGACAAATTAAATTTTGTAAACTCTACTTACTGAAGCAGTCACACCCCCTACTTATGATTTGTCACAAAGGATTAGCATCTTGTGAAAAGGATTTTGTACACATTGTGATAATGTTACCTGGAAGGTGAACAAACTTTCAAAATTTGTTTACTGAAAATTGGCTCCTTGATAGCTATTTTGAACATACACAGGCTAATGGTTCATCAGATTTTCAGGCAGTTAGTTTCTCTTCATACAAAACTAGCCCTTTGCTTTGCTACCTGGATGAGTACATCAGCTTACAAAACTGCAACAAGATTGAATATACATTGTGTATTCATGAAATTGGCTCCTTGCCACAATGAGTGAATATACATAGAGTGTATTCATGAAATTGGCTCCTTGCCACAATGAGTGAATATACATAGAGTGTATTCATGAAACTGGCTCCTTGCCACAATGAGGTTGAATATACATAGAGTGTATTCATGAAACTGGCTCCTTGCCACAATGAGGTTGAATATACATAGAGTGTATTCATGAAACTGGCTCCTTGCCACAATGAGTGAATATACATAGAGTGTATTCATGAAACTGGCTCCTTGCCACAATGAGTCTGAATATACATAGAGTGTATTCATGAAATTGGCTCCTTGCCACAATGAGTGAATATACATAGAGTGTATTCATGAAATTGGCTCCTTGCCACAATGAGGTGAATATACATAGAGTGTATTCATGAAATTGGCTCCTTGCCACAATGAGGTGAATATACATAGAGTGTATTCATGAAATTGGCTCCTTGCCACAATGAGTGAATATACATAGAGTGTATTCATGAAATTGGCTCCTTGCCACAATGAGGTTGAATATACATAGAGTGTATTCATGAAATTGGCTCCTTGCCACAATGAGTGAATATACATAGAGTGTATTCATGAAATTGGCTCCTTGCCACAATGAGGTTGAATATACATAGAGTGTATTCATGAAATTGGCTCCTTGCCACAATGAGGCTGAATATACATAGAGTGTATTCATGAAATTGGCTCCTTGCCACAATGAGGTTGAATATACATAGAGTGTATTCATGAAATTGGCTCCTTGCCACAATGAGTGAATATACATAGAGTGTATTCATGAAATTGGCTCCTTGCCACAATGAGTGAATATACATAAAGTGTATTCATGAAATTGGCTCCTTGCCACAATGAGTGAATATACATAAGTATATTCATGAAATTGGCTCCTTGCCACAATGAGTGAATATACATAAGTATATTCATGAAATTGGCTCCTTGCCACAATGAGTGAATATACATAGAGTGTATTCATGAAATTGGCTCCTTGCCACAATGAGTGAATATACATAGAGTGTATTCATGAAATTGGCTCCTTGCCACAATGAGGTTGAATATACATAGAGTGTATTCATGAAATTGGCTCCTTGCCACAATGAGGCTGAATATACATAGAGTGTATTCATGAAATTGGCTCCTTGCCACAATGAGTGAATATACATGAGAGTGTATTCATGAAACTGGCTCCTTGCCACAATGAGGCTGAATATACATAGAGTGTATTCATGAAATTGGCTCCTTGCCACAATGAGTGAATATACATAGAGTGTATTCATGAAATTGGCTCCTTGCCACAATGAGTGAATATACATAAGTATATTCATGAAATTGGCTCCTTGCCACAATGAGTGAATATACATAAGTATATTCATGAAATTGGCTCCTTGCCACAATGAGTGAATATACATAGAGTGTATTCATGAAATTGGCTCCTTGCCACAATGAGTGAATATACATAAAGTGTATTCATGAAATTGGCTCCTTGCCACAATGAGTGAATATACATAAGTATATTCATGAAATTGGCTCCTTGCCACAATGAGTGAATATACATAAGTATATTCATGAAATTGGCTCCTTGCCACAATGAGTGAATATACATAGAGTGTATTCATGAAATTGGCTCCTTGCCACAATGAGTGAATATACATAAAGTATTTTTCTTAAAATTGGCTCCTTGCCACAATGAGTCTGAATATACATAGAGTGTATTCATGAAATTGGCTCCTTGCCACAATGAGTCTGAATATACATAGAGTGTATTCATGAAACTGGCTCCTTGCCACAATGAGTCTGAATATACATAGAGTGTATTCATGAAACTGGCTCCTTGCCACAATGAGGTTGAATATACATAGAGTGTATTCATGAAATTGGCTCCTTGCCACAATGAGTGAATATACATAGAGTGTATTCATGAAATTGGCTCCTTGCCACAATGAGGCTGAATATACATAGAGTGTATTCATGAAACTGGCTCCTTGCCACAATGAGGTTGAATATACATAGAGTGTATTCATGAAATTGGCTCCTTGCCACAATGAGTGAATATACATAGAGTGTATTCATGAAACTGGCTCCTTGCCACAATGAGGCTGAATATACATAGAGTGTATTCATGGAACTGGCTTCTTGCCACTTGGACGGTGAATTACATATCAATCATAAAAATGGCTATTTGTCACTGGCAGTTGGCTCAACCCACTGATACCAGGAGAGCACTTGCAATGTCCACTGGTTATTTTACAAATTTTGTTTACAACTGGATGGCTCCAGAAGTGCTTAGTCAGCAAAGAGGCAATAATTGGGCCCACCTGACCCCATCTCTTGAATCCTTTCCTTGAATTTTTGACAATGAAAATTTCTAGTTTTATACTGGATATCTTTGTTATTAACATTATAATAGTATTATTGACAATAATAACATTAAGAACAAATAAGTAATAAAATTAAAAACTTTTTATTCTCAAAAATTTAAGGAATGAGTTAAACAGGTGAGGTCTGGTTAGCCTAGGAATTGACTCTTTGATGACTAAGCACTTATGATGCTGTCTATTTGTAAACAGAATTATAATAACAGTGCATGTGCCTGGAGCCAATGGGTTAAATCTTACTGTTCAGTTTCTCTTGGCAGATGAGTAACTACATTGAAAAAAAAAATTAGTTGGCTTGAGTTTCCATTCGCTTTAATGCAAATGCAAGCTTCTTTGGATCCTTAAAAAGTTTGCAGAATAAAGATAGTCTCTGCTGCAGCTGATGATTTTGCCGTTTTAGTTCCATGCATTGCTTTTCCAAAATCTCCAGCTTTTCATGAACTCCAGACCTTTCTCCTCCTTTACTGGTGTTTGTGCCTTCAGAGGAATCAGGTGACACTTCCGATGTCTCTTCACCTGATACACAGCTTCTTTTGGCTTGCACCATTATTTCTGAATCCTCTGCACGGCGCTTCCTGCATTTCACTTCTCTTTTCTGCTCAGCAACTGACTGCTGTGAATCTGCTGCTGCTTCATCCTTTTCAACCTTGACTTGCACCTCTTCCTTCTTCACTACTGCATCCTGTTCCCTATCCTCTCCTTCTGCTGGGCTCGGCCGTGTGGTAGCTGCAGTGACTGGCCGCACAGGGACCGCTGCAGCCGCTGATGACACCCTGGCAAGATCGCAGCATAAAGACTTCGCTGCCTTGTCAGATCCACTTCCTGGAACTCGTACAAATGATCGTACTGGGTCAC